TTTGGGTCTGGTGCTCTTTCTACACTAACATCAGATAGCTGGCAAAACCTTTGGGTCTGTCCTCCTTACCTCTTCTTTCATACATTCCATCTTTCTGTTCTTTTGTTCGGCACTCTTTGGTTTGTGTATTGGTATATTTATGTGATTTCATATTGCCAAAACGTGTAGTTTTTCTTGTTTTCAAAAAACAAGAGCATTGTTTTTTTGTTTTGGAAAGTTAAATCTTACCATGATTTCCATATTCACTCCCCTCCCCACCAGCATACGGTGGTCATTTATCAGTTTTAAATATTTATGATCTCTGTAAATATTTAAAGATAACCAACAATATACTGCTTGTTAAGAAACTACCTTTACTGTTCCTTATCTTTTTCCTCCAAAATTTCTCATCACCAAATTTTATTTAATGAATTTTGTTTTGTTAATTCATTTGTACAGGAGAAACTTTTGTCTGTAATACATTCATTTATGTTAAAAATTACAGAAACAACAAAGCTGAGATCAATTTACTTCACAAAGACCATCAAGTCATATTATTTTGTAAATGTTAGAAATAGGTTTCCTGAAGGAAGAATGAAGAGTTAGGTTATAACTTGGACTATAATGTTAGGGACTCAAAATTGACTTAAGATTTAAACATAGTGTAATGTTTATTCCTATCTTCCATATTTGTCAGGGAATCTTAAGATTCTTTGTCAGAGTAAGAAATTTTCTGGTGCTGTGTTGGGAGTGCAGGGCATAAGAGATTTCCATAAAAAGGCATGGGATTTGCTTGGAAGAACATGGAGGTTTTCTAACTTGGCAGTAATGAGTTAGAACTAACTCCCCTTAGAAATAAAAATTAACTTACATTCTTACTGCGAATTCTTTTGTGTATGTGCTTTCTTGTGTGACCTATTTGATTTTTATATTTGTGAGTGTGCCTGTGTGCATACATTTGTAACCCATGGCATTTGTTAGGTGTAAATAAAATTTTCTATACATACTCTGTGTGAAAAATGGCTTTGGAACTAGAATGTCTTGCCATTTTAGCTGAGAAGCAGGGGCCAAATATGTTGTTGTTGCAGAATACCCAAAATAATTTGACCATCTCTGAGCTCTTTCCCCAGTTTCTGTTGCCCTAGAAAGGCTGGAGGCATTTGGGCAATATAAATGATCCTTGCTATATTAGGATTCTGTCTTGAAAGATACACATTATTGGATTAGAGAGACAGTGAATTCACATCTTGTTAAAATGACAGCGATCCCAGACTTAAGAGGCCTGGAAAGCGGTTAGGGATGTGGGCCTCCTTTTATCTGAAATATGTGCTCTTGTGTTTAGCTGTCAGTATTTTTCTTTTCATGGTAATGAAACCACTTTTTTTTGGGAGGGGGGATCTCCTAATACAGATAGAGGTGTAGGATGCCTAGTGTCCAACACAAACCTCTCCCACCTCACTCTACCATGTGGTGTTTATTTTTAAGTGCTCACCCAGTTCTTACCTTTCTTCTCTTTCTTATTGGTTGATCTCATCCACTGCTATGGTTTCAACGCTACCATCTTGACCAGCATTGTTGACTCCTGATTCTGTACCTCTAGTCCATTGGTTTCCATGGAACCTCCAGACTTGGCTTTTAAAATATGTATCATGTGTCCTTACCTGTTCTTCCCATAGGAACCTTACACTTAATTTTTGCAAGAAAGCATTATCTTTTTTTAAGGCCTCCTTTTGTATTTCCTGTCTTAATTGGAGGTAGGCTATCAACCACTTACTTGCTCAAGGTAGTTACCTAGGAGTTATCACTGACTCTTCTTCATTCCTCTTAGTAGCTTCTTATCAGTTATAGAGTCCTGTCAGTTTTATCCTCAGAAAAGCATTGTCCTTCTTCAGCCTTAGTGCTCCTGTACAGGCCTGTGCCATCTTGCACTTGAACTACTGCAGTAGCTTCCTAGCTATTCTGTCTGCCACTAGTCTCTCCTTTCTTCAGTCCATTTTGCATACTGGCCGTTGTTTTTCCAGAATACAAATCTAATCATATTTTTAAAAATAACATTGTCTTCTCCCCATTACTTACTAGATGAAATAAAAGCTGTTTAACATGGCAAATGCTGAGCTATGTAGTATCCCTGGATCTTTTGTATGTAATTCTTTAGTGCATTTGCTTAAACTGTTTCCTTTGCTTGGAATGTCCTTCTGAGCATTATAGCTGGAATATTCCTATTCAGTTTTTTACTTAGCTCTTCATATGAGCTAGTCAAAATCAGAAACCTATCGTAGAGTCTTCTGTGTTCCTCCATCCTTCCTCAGCCCTTTAATTTTCTCTTACACCAGCTTTATTCCCATCATTTTGTAGTTACTTGTTTCTTTCTCCTTTATAAGCTCCTTGAGGATGGAAAACAGATACTTTTCACGTTTGTTTCCTTGACACCTAGTACAGAACTGGTATCTAGAAAATACTTTGCAAATGCTTGATTCAGAATAAAAATAATATTTGCCATTATAGCTGCTTTATAGTGTCCTCACTATATGTGTGTATATTAGTTCGTTTTCACGCTGCTGATAAAACATACCTGAGACTGGGCAGTTTACAAAAGAAAGAGGTTTAATTGGAATTCCAGTTCCACGTGGCTGGGGAAGCCTTACAATCATGGCAGAAGGCAAGGAGGAGCAAGTCCCATCTTACATGGATGGCAGCAGGCAAAGAGAGAATGAGAATCAAGCAAAACAGGTTTCCCCTTATAAAACCATCAGATCTCATGAGATTTATTCACTACCATGAGAACAGTATAGGAGAAACTGCCCCCATGATTCAGTTATCTCCACCTGACTCTGCCCTTGACACATGGGGATTACTAAATTCAAGGTGAGGCTGGGTGCAGTGGCTCACTTCTGTAATCTCAGCCCTTTGGGAGGTCAAGGTGGGCAGATTATGAGATCAGGAGATTGAGACCAGCCTGGCCAACATGGTGAAACCCTGTCTCTACCAAAATTAGCCAGACATGGTGATGGTGCTTGTAATCCCAGCTACTCGGGAGGCTGAGGCAGGAGAGTCGCTTGGACCCAGGAGGTGGACAGTAAAGTGAGCTGAGATTGCGCCATTGCACTCCAGTCTGGGCAACAGAGTGAGACTTCATCCCAAAGGGGGATTAAAAAAAACTCATTATTTCTTCAAATACTACCACTTCTCCCCATTCCAGTTACATATATGTTATACTGCTTGATAGCTTGATAATGTCCTGTAGTTCCAGTCTTTTTTTTCTTTTTCTTTTCTTATTACACCCCTAACACCTCTACCCTTGCTTCTTTCTTCTCTCTCTCCTGTCTCCGTTTCCCCTTCTGTCCTTTCCCCTTATTCTCCTCACATTTTAATTATGTTTAAATTTGGGTATTTTCCATTGCTGTGTCTTCAGACCCTTTGAACTTACTTTCTGTGCTATTTAATATATTGTTAATACCATCCAGTGATATTTCTATTTCACATAATGTTTTTGAATACTGTAAGTTCTTTTTGGTTCTTATGTCTACCATTTCCTTCCTCATTTTTTTCTTTAAATTTTTGTGCATATTTATAATAGCAGTTTTAGAGTCCTCGTTGACTAATTTTATCATCTTGTTTCTGGGACGGTTTCAGCTGGTTTATTTCACTCTGGTTTCAGGTCACATATTCTTTATTCTTCACATTTCTATTAATTTTTTATTGGATGCTGGATATTGTTAATTTTATATGGTTGAGTGGTAGGATTTTTTTTTCTGCTTCTTTTAAAGAATTTTGGACTTTGTTCAGACAAGCAGTTGAGTTAGTTACATGTGGATCAATTCCTTTTGAGACCTGTTTTAAGCTTTGTTAGGAAGCATCTAGAATATCATTTACTCTAGAGCTTATTTAGCTCTGCTACTAAGATATGAGTTTTCTGAGGTTTCTAGTGAATTCCTAGTTTTTCAGCATGGAAGACTTCTAGTCAGAACCATATGAACTCTGGGAATTGTTCCACCTGTAGATCTCTATTTATTCTTTGCCTTACCTTTTGAAGTTAGTCAAAGCATCAAACTGTGTGCTGGTCTTAGTTGTTGGCCACAGATTCAAGTGAATCCTTATGCAGATTTCTGGAATTTTATATGCGTAGCTTCCACTTCTCTGGCATAGTTCCAAGCTCTGCTTGAGTTCTTCCTCCCTTTACCACAGTCTGAAAAGTGCTTCTAGGCAGAAAGCCAGAGCAGTGTTAGGTCTCACTTCATTTCTTTTGCATCTCAGAAATCACAGCCCTACACTGCTTATTATCCAATATCTAAAAAGTTTTATATCTTTTTGTTCACTGTTCTAGCTGTTACTGTGGGTTGAAAAGTCTGTTTCTAGTTATTCCACCTTGGCCATTGAAAAGTATTTCCTGTCTTTATACCTTTTAAGATAACCATGAAGATAAATAAAGTTTATGTTCCTTTTATTTTATCTGGCTGTTTGGGCCTTTTAGCATATATTGCTAATAACTACCTATAGTGTTTAGCAATTTAATCTGATCTCCTGTTCACATCTTTAATTATTTTCAAGACGACATTTTAAACGGTTCAGCTATAATACAATAATGAACAAAATAGTACAGAATTACTGTAGGATATTTTAAGCAAATAAAGTAGTATGTACATTATATTAAAGCTCAAGTGAATGTTTTTAAAAAGTGCATAAGTTGTTTAAATGATAGCTTTGCAAAGAATTGAGTTTATCATTGTAGTCAGATGGTTATCAGCTATTAAATTTAATTGTCTTGTTTTTTTATCAAAGATTCTTAGAAGTAATTTGAACATAATTGATGCCTAATCAAAGATGATCTTTAGAGAATTAAAATGTCTGAAAGTAATCCTATAAACTTAGATTAAAATCTATATGGATTTTGCTGTGTAGCTTCTGTTGTTCCTTTGGTAGTCTTACAGGGAAAAAAAACAAACTCCTATATTTGATGTAGCAGTTGTACATTATTAGGCTGTTAGCGTGTTTCTTAATCTTTGATTTTTATTGTTTTTCAGATCGTCAGTATTTAAACATACCACATCATGCGTGAGTACAAGCTAGTGGTCCTTGGTTCAGGAGGCGTTGGGAAGTCTGCTCTGGTAAGTTAGCCACCTAACTGTAAATGATTAGTATAATACAAAAAGAATTTTGACATTTCCTTGCTTTCAGACTTCTAGACGTCAAAGAGAAAAGGTGGCATTATTATATATATGGTATGTGTCCCACAAGGGACAGGAAATCATTTACTAACCACAGATGTATAGTTGTATAATGTTGGCTCATTTATTATATTTACCAAATATTTGTTGGCTATCTTATATGTCAAGTACCAGTGTTTATGATTCAGAAAGGAGCAAGATTGTTCTCATTTTTAAGGAATTTACATTGTAGTGGGGAAAACATTATGACAGATTCTAGTGGGGTAATTCCTTCCCTGCCTTCACCCTAGACTTACATGGAATGAAGGTCATTTTTTGTGTTCATGCTGTTTTAATTTAGTAAATAGTTATTGAGCTTCTACAGTGTCAGATTCTAGGGTCACAGAAGTGAACAAAAACAGTAATAGTTTCTCACGGAGCTTGCATTATAAGTGGAGGAAATGTAATAAATACACAATTAAACAAATAACTACTTGGTTATACTTGTGAGAGAGATACTCTGAAAGAAAAATACAGATTAATTTAGAAGAAAGGCAGAGTGGATGTGGGAGACAAATTGGGCGTTAATACAGTATACCAGATAATTGTTTATGGAAGCTAGGATTAGGACCATGGCAGTGAAGAAGAGAAAAGTTGATGTTTGAGGATTGAATAAGCAGTAAAACTGACATAACTTGGTGCTAGATTGATATGGGTACCAGGAGAGAGGGAACTGTCAAAGGTGACTCCCAAATTTCTAGTTTGAGCTACTAATTTTATGGATGGTTTAAAAAAAGAAGATAAACAGTGGAGAATGAGCTGTGAGAGTCAAAATTAAAGAGTCATGCCAAATTTAATGCTTGTGATGTTGAAGTAATAAAAAAGGGAGGCCTGCGATATTATTTTGGTGCCATTAATATGGCAGTGATACTTAATTTCATGAGAATTATGTTACTGTTAGGCATGTAAATTAGTACCTCTGTCGAGAATGTTTAAGAATATCTGTCGTTTTAATGGCATATAACTTTCAATTCGGTGATTCCCTGTCTAAAAATGTAGCCCACATATAAGTTCACATGTGCAAAATAACATGGTCAAGAACCATTGCAACATTCTTTACAGTGACAGGAGCCTGGAAGCAACCTAAATGCATTCCATTAAGGGGCTAGTTAAGTACATTTTAATACATATTCAGAGTAGAACACAGCCACGAGGAAGAATGCAACAGCTCTCTATATACCAATATGCAATGATATCCAAGATGTATTATTAGAGAGAAAAAAGGTACTAAACAGTGTAGACTATAATATTTTAATATAATGTTTTATATTTAAAAAAAATGTAGGCTGAGGGGAGATACCGTAAAATCATAGAGTATCTCTGCAAGGTTAAACTATGGATAGCATCAGTTACTTTCTTGGAAGTAGGATTGGATAACTGGGAACAAGGATGGTAGATAAGCTTATTTACTACTGCATAGCGTTTTGTGCCTTTTGAATTTCGTACTGTGTCCATGAATTAGCTTTTCAAAAATAAATAATTTTGGAAAAAATCCATAGGGGTGAAAGAGGTCTAGGGAGATACTAGAGAGAGAGAAGAGCCCAGACTGAGCCCTGAGTACCCCTCAACCTTTAGAAAGTGGGTAGGATTGGCGGGGTGCAGTGGCTCATGCTGTAACCTCAGCACTTTGGGAGAAGCGGGCAGATCACGAGGTCAGAAGATCAAGACCATCTTGGCTAACATAGTGAAACCCTGTCTCTACTAAAAATACAAAAATAATTGCCAAGTGTGGTGGCACGCGTCTGTAGTCCCAGCTACTTGGGAGGCTGAGGCAGGAGAATTGCTTGAATCTGGGAGACAGAGCGAGACTTTGTCTCAAAAAAAAAAGAGAAAGTGGGTAGGTTTGGAGGATATAGCATAGAAGAATATATCTTTACTTGATTGCTCAAAAGTCAGGTAAAAAAGAGGAAAGCGATGATCAGAGGTGCACATAGAGGTAGTTGGATATGATAAAGGAAGCAGCTTTAGTCAGGTCATGTTGCCATAACCATAGCAGGGTGGGTTGAAGAGTAAATGAGAGCTGAGGAAATAGAATATAGACACTTGAGGAAACTTGATTATGAGAGGGAACAGAGAATGGGGGCAGAAGCTGGAGGGATATTGGGGTTAAGGGAGGTTTTTGCTTTTGTTTTAGAATTGGAAATAGTAAAGCATATTTGTATGCTAGAGATGCTGGAGGCAATTCCTCTCCACTGGAGAGGAAAGTGAGGATACAGGAGAGGAAAAGAGGAGATGATCCAGTACGAAAAGCAGAGGAATAAAATTATAACCTATATGAATGAATGAATGAATAAATGAATGAGATATCCCTGAAGATTAAGACAGAGGGTAAGATTCAGAGGAGTAGTAAAACATTACTTTTAGTAAGAAAGAAATGAGAAGCATTGGATTGTTTTGCATTCTTGTAAATCTTATTAATGTCTGGCTTATAGAAGGCACATGGTCTTATACCTGCTTCTATATCCAGTCTCTTGAAATAGCACATGATCTATACCCTTCGGAAGATTTCACTGTAAACTTAGGAGAAGAGTACATCTTAGTATTGTAAGAAGATGGTCTGACCTTAGGGAGCCTCTGCCTTGGACCATATTTTGAGAACCTCTGTTCTAGCCTAAAGCATATTAGGAAGCCATACTAGACTGCCTTTTCTTTAAATTTAAAAAATTTTTATTTTGAATCAGGGTCTCCCCCTGTTGCTCAGGCTGGAGTGCAGTGACATGATCATTACTCACTGCAGCTTCAACCTGCTAGGCTCAAGCAGTCCTCCGGTATTACCAACCCAAGTAGCTGGGACTCAGGTGCATACCACCAGCTCTGGCTACTTTTTACATTTTTTGTAGAGACAAGGTCTCACTATGTTGCCCAGGCTGGTCTCAAATTCCTGAGCTCAAGGAATCCTTCTGCCTTGGCCTCCTGAAGTGCTAGGAGTACAGCATGAGCCACTGCACCCAGCATAGACTGCTTTTTATGTTTAAATTATGTGTTGTACTTAGAAGGTGAGGTGATTAAATCTTTGATAAAATTTTGATAAAAATGGTTAAAGTTTTTGATGTGATTATATCTTGAGTTGCCTTTGAATAATAGAAGCTTAGTAGGAAAAAGAAGTTTGTTTACTGTAACTCTTTAGCTCAAGCTAAAATAGTATATCAGATATTCCTCTGAATAATTTAAGTGTAGATAATCTCAGTCCACATTCTTACCCTTGCTTTTTAGGCAATAATGTACCAGACCTTGTTTTAAAGTTGTCTAACAAACCATCTTCTGTACTTTTTTTCACTTACTTAATGATAAATATGTATTTTCTAAAATGTGCTTTTAGATAAATATGTATTTTCTAATATGTGCTTTTAGATACCTTCAAGATAAAAGTAGGTAATATCTGAAAAGGATGAGTGGGCAATATTTTCCAATGGAGAAAGTAAGGCTTTAGAATCAGGAAGATGTATATTTGAATTTCAGCTGGCAAATAGGAAGAATAACTATTTCTGGGACGAATGTGATATTTGAATGTGATTATAAATTAAAAGTGACTAGCTCAATGTCTGGAACATAGTAGACATTCAGTAAATTTAAATTTCCTTTTCTCTTTTTTTATCCACCACAATTTAGAAAGGCTTTTAAAAATTTAAGCCAGAAGCTGCTTGCAGTCCCAGCTACCTGGGAAGCTGAGGCAGGAGAATCTCTTGAGTTCAGGAGTTCAAGGCCAGCCCAGGCAACATAGCAAAGACCCTGTGTTTAAAAAAAAAAAAAAAAAAAAAATTAGAACCATCGTCACTCCATTAAGGGCAGAGGGCATAGTATAAAGGTTATTATAAATATATAAAGGGGCAGTAGGAGTTTAAATATTGATAATATTTTATTTCTAATTCAGATATGTTATTTGCATCCTTGTATTTTAAAAGTTAAAGTAATTAACAGTCTATTGTCAGCATCAGTATTGATGACAATTTTTAACATGACTACCTCCTTTCATAATAAATGTACTCTTAGTTATGGATATGTCCTTATATTGAAAGATAATAACGATGTTATATTTTACATTTGTGTGTTTACCCAGAATTTTCACATAATTTCAATTAATCATTATAACTTGTGAGGTTAAATAACATTCAAAGGAGTTATTTCTTTAACTTTTTAATATTTCTCTTGTTTTTTTTTTTTTTTTTCCCCATAGACAGTTCAGTTTGTTCAGGGAATTTTTGTTGAAAAATATGACCCAACAATAGAAGATTCCTACAGAAAGGTAAAATGTGAAACTTGTACACACATGCTTACAAGTAGTTCCTTATAATGTTAAAATTTGATTTGTAGATTTGCTTTTTGAAAATAGTTTTGAGAAATGATACAGGTATTGTGTATCTATTTTTAAAAGATTCATCAAGATAGAATATTTCTTACAGAATATTACTTGGATATTCAGAGCTCTGTATTCTGTTACTGATTAGTGATTTATTTGTTCCTTAATGTGGACATTTTCCTGGTGGGGAATTTTAATATAGAAAAAAATGCATATAAATAGTAGGTGTGTTTTCAACTTACTCTTTTGTTACCAAAAATTAAGACCATCTTTATGCTTGAAGTTATCCAGTGACCGAAGATTTTTTTTTTTGCTTAGTTTTATAAGTTTAAAGATATTTAATCTGTAGACTACTAAAAAATTAGAGTCTGTTTAAGAGTATAGTGGGGTTACATGCCATACATTTGTCAAAACCCATAGAATGTACAATTACAAAAGCAAATCCTAATGTAAACTGTGGACTCTTGGTGATAACGATGTATTCATGTGGGTTCATCAGTTGTAACAAAGGTACCACTGGTGCAGGATGTTGATAGTGGGGTGAGGCTATGTATCTGTGGTGGCAGGGAGTATGTGGGAAATCTCTGCACCTTCCCCTCAATTTTGCTGCAAAACTAAAACTGCTGTAATAAATAAAGTCTATTTAAAAAGGGGAAAAATTAGGTACTTGATCTTGACAAAAAGTATTCTATAGAAGACCAGCTAGAGTTGTGGAAAATTTTCATATATTTTATTTCTCAAATATATTGGGTGGGGTAGAGTTATAAAAGACTAGTAGCCAAGGATATATTTTAAAAAGGTTAAACTTTAATAGGAAATAAATGCTTTTGAAGATGTTTTTAGAATTTACCTTTAATAATTTTGTTGAATTAATTTGTTAGTTCATTAAGCACTACTAGCAGAGCAGCTTCACTGTCTTCAAATTGGAAACAAAATTATGCTCTAGATACATCAAGAAACTATAGTCCTAATTGATTATTGGTTGAACATTCCCAGTTACAAATTTTGCAGATTACCACACTTGTCCCGTAAGTGGTGGGGTGGATGGGTTTATGGTCCAACCGGTGGTGCTCCTCATTAATGTCTGATCAGACACAGAGACATGCTTCTCATCAATGTCTGATCTGACACAGAGGCAGAGTTAAAAATAGTCTTTAGGTTAGTACATTTATTTTTAGAAGACAGTGTTGTTCTACTGAAATTTCCCCAAAATAAGTTCCTAGTTAAAGCTTTAACTGCAAAGCAAGATCTGTACCTAAAATTCTAAAGGACTAATGCTTCTGAACCCCTTTATTAAAAGTTTTCTAAACAGCTGATAGTTGACACATTCTTTAGACCAACCTTCTCTCGTTTTATAAGACCAGTGAGTAAATGGAACTCAGTGTATAAAATTTCATCTCTTATATAGAGCTTTTCTAGAAAAGTGCCTTTTTCTTAAAGTCTTGAGGACTGTGTGAGCTCAGTGCTATTTATTTTAGTACTCCTGTGTTTCTTTTATGTCTTAAATTCAAATTTTACTATGTATGTAATTTTCTGCATATTTTAGTAAAATTTTAACAACTCAAACATACTAAGTTGGCAAGATTTTCTTTACCCCAAAGTCTTGTGTGCATTTTGAGCCATTTAATATTTTTGTACTTTGTTTTATTTGGAGATAATATAAATATACATAATACTTTTTTCTGTTGGAACTATACTTGTTTGTTGAAGTTTTTCTTAAATTTCAAAATATGACATTTGCCTTTAATAAGAACAAATAAGAATCATTACAGAGGTCAGAAAATATCTAAACTCAGCATTAACCATCATGGCTTCTGTAATATTAATAGACTGTCCTTCAGACCTCTGTTCTTTATTGTGGTACCAAGTTTACTCCCAGCCATTATAGCATATTGTTGGAGAAAGGCTTTGTATTTGTTAATAGTTGCTTTGATAGAAGAGGTGGGAAGAAGACAGAATGACATTTCGATGTACTTTTTAATTTTTTTCTTTTTTTGCCCCTACAGCAAGTTGAAGTCGATTGCCAACAGTGTATGCTCGAAATCCTGGATACTGCGGGGACAGTAAGGATGTTTTCTCATTTTTTGATAGATTTTAATTTGTGAGCAAGTTTTGTCATCTGAATAATTCTGAGTAAAAGTAATTCTGATTAAGAAGAAATTACCTAAATGTAGGGATTCTTAAGTGTGTGAAATCAACTGTGATGTAGTTAATGTTCACACAACACAAAGCTCACCTAGACAATCTCTGTGTTGGGTTTCTTCCTACATTGAGGTAGGGATTATGCTATCAGTGATCTTTTTAAATGTATTTTAAATTTAGAATTTTAGTTAATATTTGTATTTCTGTGGATTTAAATAAGACCTTGTTTCTTGGCACTGTAGTCATTAATTTTTTGTAATTTTTTTTTTCACTAGCATTTTGACATCTCAAGGGGCTGGTGACAGATACGTGTTTTCTGAGGAAAGCAAAAGTCTTCCTCGGAAGATTTAGGATTATTTTGAGCCTCCTTTTTCTAATCTTTAAATGAGTATAATGACATTAGTATATTATAAGGTGTTTGTGATAAGCAAATGAGATAATTATAAATCATTTGGCATAATGTCTGTTACACAGTATGGAATTGTGTATTTGCTTTTATTCTTCTTAATCTTCATTAATATCCTCACCTTTATTTATTTTTTTGAGATGTAGTCTCACTCTGCTGCCCAGGCTGGAGTACAGTGGCACGATCTCAGCTCACTCACTGCAACCTCCGCCTCCCAGGTTCAAGTGATTCTCCTATCTTAGCCTCCCGAGTAGCTGGGATTATAGGCGCATGCTGCCATGACCGGCTAATTTTTTGTATTTTCGTAGAGGCGGAGTTTCACCGTGTTCCCCAGGCTGATCTCGAACTCCTGAGATCAGGCAGTCCACCCGCTTCAGCCTCCCAAAGTGCTAGGATTATAGGCGTGAGCTACTACGCCCGGCCTTATAATTTTTTATTAATAATGATGGTTTCCAATTATACTGCCACACAAAATACATACATTAAGCAATCTTTGCTTTTCTTTATTTTTCTCCATACGCATAGACTTGATGCATTAGGCAATTCCTAACTTTAAAATGGATGAGGTTTTGTTTTTTGTTTTTCTTATGAGACAGGGTCTTGCTGTCACCCAGGCTAGAGTGTAGTGGTGCAGTGATAGCTCACTGCCGTCTCCTGGGCTCAAGCAATCCTCCTGCCTCAGTCTCCCAGGTAGCTAGAACTACAGGCATGTACCATCACTCCTGGCTAATTAAAAATAAAAATTTGTAGAGGTGGGTTCTCACTGTGTTGCCCAGGCTAGTCTCTCAGACTCCTGGCCTCAAGTGATCTTCCTGCCTCTGCTTCTGAAAGTGCTGGGATTGCAGGTGTGAGCCATTGCGCTTGGCTGGTATGCTTAAATGTTATAAGTTGTTGACAATTCAGCACAAAGTTTTTCACTATAATTTTTATAAATGTTGGAAACATTTCAGATAGTTCAAAAAAGCATGTAAGCAAATTGGAGTGATTATACACAACAATATAGCACTAATTATACTATATTTTTCCAATCTTTTTTGGGAAAATAGGTCTTAACTCTTATCAGGGAGCTTTGCCCTCATAGCAAACTTCTGGTAAAGGCCTTCTGAAACTACATCTTATATCAGCTGAATCAAGCTGTCTCTCCCTCTTCCCACCCTCCTGCTCCCTAATGTTTTTAGCATCTGAATCAGCAAAATTCCCCTTTGTTTCCAGAAACCCCAATAGCTAAAAAGAATACTTTCTACTTTTTTTTTTTTTTTATCATATCCACAGTGTACAGGCATGCATTCTTCTTTCTCTGTCCAAATTGTAAGAAGGAAGTTCTCCATCGCAGAGATCTTTAATTTGTGCTATCCAGTATTGTGTCTGTCTCCCATTGTGGCACTCAACATGCTGTTATAATGGCCTGTTTGCTTGTCTGTGTCCCCAGTGCCTTGCATAAAACTTTGCAAACAGCTGCTGCTCATTAATCTTGTCAAAATCACTCCTTACTCTGAAGATTTTTGCGCGCATGCTCTCTCTCTCTCTCACTGCTTCAGTCAGAATTCTTAGTGATTTTACTGTCCGTGTAGAATCTATATGGATTTTTATAGATGATCTACTACCCTGACCTGGCCTGTCAGTTCCTCTGTATCCGCCATACTTTTAAGCCATTCATACCATGTTTTTACCCTAGAGTATGTGATTACCAATAACCATAATACCTCCTTACTCTAATTTCCAAGTGTCTTATCCTCCACTACTCACTACTTCTTTCTTTATCCATCTCACTTCCTCTTTTTGTTTTGTTTTGTTTTGTTTTGTTTTGTTTTGTTTTGTTTTGTTTTGTTGAGACAGGGGGTCTCTCTGTCACCCAGGCTGGAGTGCAGTGGTATGAACATAGATCACTGCAGCTTCAAACTCCCAGAGTCAAGAAATCCCCCCACCATAACCTTCTGAGTAGCTGGTACTACTCCAGGTGCACACCACCACACTTAGCTTTTATTTTATTTTTATTCATTTATTTTCATAGAGACAGGGTCTCACTATGTTGCCCAAGCTGGTCTTGAACTCCTGGACTCAAGGGATCCTCCTGTCTTTGGCCTCCCAAAGTGCTGGGATAACAGATGTTAGCCACTGCACCCAGGCCATCTCATTTCTTTTAGTGCCCTTCAACTTCATTGCCATCTGTAGTCCATTTATCCTAACATCTTTTTATTATCTTTTATATCTTCAGCCCCCTCTGCAGATAGCTTCAGGTTCACGGTCCATCATTTATAATTCTCTTAAATATATCCTCAACTCCCTTGACATTTCAGCAGGCTTTGACTCAGTTCATCACTGCCTTTTACTGTAAAACCTTTATTCATTTGGCTTCCAAGAAACAATACTTGCCTGATTTTCTCCGTCTCATTGGTTACTCTTAAGCCTCCTTTCCTAATTCCTCTTTATCTCCCCTACCTCTTACTGTTGGAGGGCCTTAGGGTTCAGTACCTGCACTTCTCTTTTCTAACAACACTGCTTTGGAGATCTTTAGTTGCATGGTTTTAAATATAGTCTGTATGCTGATAAATACTAACTTTATAACTCTATCTGTATTAGGCCATTTGCATTATTGTAAAGAAATACCTGAGGCTGGATAATTAATGAAGAAAAGAAGTTTAATTGGCGCTTGGTTCTGCAAGCTGTACAAGCATAGCTCTAGTATTATCTGCTTATGGTGAACACCCCAGGAAGCTTACAATCATAGTGACAGGCAAAGGGAGTAGGTGTTTCACATGTCAGGAGCAGGAGCAAGAGAGAGGGGGCCACACAATCAGATCTCATGAGAACAGAATTGTGAGGATAGCACCAAGCCATTCGTGAGGGATCCGTCTCTGTGACCCAAACATCTCCCAGAGGCCCCACCTCCAACATTGGAGATTACGTTTCAGCATAAGGTTTGGAGGTGACAGACATACAAACTATATCCCCATCTCTTATTTCTTTTCTGAACGTCAAACTCCTATTCTAACTGCCTCTTCAATATTTCTTTTTGTATGTCTAAGAAGCATCTCAAACATAACACGTCCAAACTGAACTCCTGATACCCTTTTCCTGACCTGGGTCTTTCCAATCTTTCCCATCTCAGTCAATAGTAGTACCCTTTTAGTTGGTTATGCCTGAAACCATGGAGCCATCTTTGACTGCCTTTTTTGTTATATTCTGTATACATCCAAACTCTCAGAAAACCCTATTGGCTTTACCTTTAAAACTTACCCAGAGCTCAACTACCACCGCTAGAATCTAATGACACTATCTATCTCAGTCTAAACAGTTGTCATCTCTCAGCTGGATTATTTCAACAACCTCAAAACTGATCTCCCTGCTTTTCTTCCTAACACCCTTCAGATTGTTCTCAACACAGTAACCATTATAATCCCGTTTAAATGTAAGTTGGATCGTGTCTTCCTCAGCTTAAATTATGTGTTAAACTCAGAGTAAAAGCCAAAGTCTTTATAACATTTCCCTAAAAGGTCCAAATGAGATCATCTTTCTCTCTGTTCCTTCTCTGCCTCCACCTCCTGTACTCACCTACTAGGTAACAATGTTTCAGTGAATCCAGCCTCCTTACAGCTTCTCATATACTTTAGACATGTTTCCTCTTGGGGCCTTTGCATTTGCTCTTCCCTCTGCTTGGGGTACCATTCCTTCACATAACCATGGAGCTTACTCCCTCACCTCCCTCAGATCCTTGCTGAGATATTACCTGTGAGGCCTTCTCTGAGCTATAACATTTATTACCAGCTTGCATACTTGATTTTTGTCTGTCTCCATGTACACTCCTCCAGGGCAGAATTTTTTTGCCTCTCACGATCACTGACAGTATCCGTAGGGCTACAACAGTGTCGGTAGATATTTGTCGTGAATGAATGAAACTTGCAGAAACTTGTAGAATGTCTTTGAGAAAGAGGTTGACATTCTCAAAAGGAGAGGACACCAACCACAGCAGTTCTGTAAGGACTATTCTTAAACTGGATTTTCAGAACTCAGGTTGCCTGTATGTTTATTCTTTTGATTTAATAGGAAGCAAAGACCATAATCTCTAGAGAACATCATAGAAATAGTATTGCTAGTATTTGTAGCACTTACATTTATAAGTAAATTCATTTATTATATAAATATTTGGACAATGGCAGAATTTAATTGGTTACCACAGCAGTGCAATCCCGGAATACAAAAACTTAATAAATGAAGACACCAGGAAACTCCCAGTTTTTACGTCTTTCCCAGAAAATACCCTGGCAGCAGTATAAAAAGGTTAGCCATATTCCTGTGGCACACCAAAGACTAGAATTTGAAGCTGGGGAAATGATTGAGTGGTAGCATAGCTAACTCCCTGGAATATAAGAAAGAGTTCATCAGCCAGGGTAGAACAACCAGAACTATTTTAGATGTAATAGACAAAATAGAGGTAGTGGTCATGGGGAGCAAGGAAGCCAGGACAGCAAAAAGCTTAAAAAACCTTGTGGATTTAGGTATTTTATGTTTAATGCATCCAAAGGTAAAAAGATCTAAAATATACTGTTTATTTAATATAAAGACCCAAGATACATACATTTTTAATATTCTACCATATGTGCTTTAAAAATAATATATATAAAATCCCAAAACTTTTTAAAAATAAGATTTTGTCTTGTATTAACATTGGTAGTTACAACATACAGTAATGATGGTCACCAAATAAAAGGAATAAAGCTTAAAATTAAAACAATTTTAATTTGGCATGACTGAAGCACAGTGACTGAATTTAACAATTATTAAATGTAACTAAAGGGTATAGATAGTCATTGTGCTATTATCACATCTTTTCTAAAGGTTTCAAGTGAGGGGGGGAATGAAAATACATGAACAAGCTCTTTTTTTTTTTTTTTTTTCAAGATGAACTTTCACTCTTGTTGCCCAAGCTGGAGTACAATGGCGTGATCTTGGCTCACTGCAACCTCCACCTTTCAGATTCAAGCAGTTATCCTGCCTCAGCCTTCTGAGTAGCTGGGACTATGGGTGTGCAGCAGTATGGCTAATTTTGTATTTTTAGTAGAGGCGAGGTTTCACCATGTTGGCCAGACTGGTCTGGAACTCCTGACTTCCGGTGATCCGCCTGCCTCGGCCTTCCAAAGTGTTGGGATTATAGGCATGAGCCATCACGCTGGCCATGAACAAGCTTTTATAAAAAGAGTTTATTGACTATGAAGATGATAAAGTCTTGCTCTGCCATGAGAATAGAAAAAGAAAGCTGATAAAATCTGCTGGTAGAGATATCAATGCTGGATGATTAAGTTATAGTTCAGTATTGGTCTTATAGCTCAGATTGTTTACACTTGGGCAGTAGTTGTGTCATAAATTTGCAAATAAAATTATTTAGGATCAAAATTAAGATCTGTTTCTAAAAAATTATATATGGTTCTAAATCGCACAAAAGCAAATTAAAATGGTTAAGAATTCCTTTTAATTCTACAATTTATTGTCATAGGTGTCACCTAGAAGTCACCTAGAAAAGTTGCTAGAAACTGTGTTATGTCTTGTTTTCTGTCAGTACAGCAAGGAATAAAAAATGTAGCTCACTTGTAATTATTCTAGTTTAAATTGTTCTAGTGTACATTCAAGAAATTTATATATTTATAATTGCATATTTTTTATCATAGGAGCAATTTACAGCGATGAGGGATTTGTATATGAAGAATGGCCAAGGTTTTGCACTAGTATATTCTATTACAGCTCAGTCCACGTTTAATGACTTACAGGACCTGAGGGAACAGATTTTACGGGTTAAGGACACAGAAGATGTAAGTATTTTTTTTTCTTTGTAAGATGTACTGCTGTCTCTTTGTGGTCAAATAAAAAAGTGCCTGTTTTCTCTATCAGTAGAGGATTTGGAAGCTATCTACCGCATGCCTGACAGAGCCCGTGTGACCAAAAATACTTTTAACTTTCAAAATTAACTTAGAAATTATGTGGTGAGATGTTTAGAAAATGAGGACATATGTGATGAAATACCCATTGTGCGATGGGCTAAAAAGTGCAGTGGAGGAAAAAGAGGAGTCAAAGAATACTTCATAGAAGTGGTACCGAGTCAAGCTTTGAAAGGTGGTAGTTATGTCAGAAACAGTGTTCAGAGAACGTTATTAAGATCCATAATGGTGTGTTTTTATTTCTGAAATTTCATTGGTATAATTCTTACATGCAGTTTTTTTCCTTTAAAATTATGTTAAAGATTTTAGTTAACTGGATTTAAAAAAATTTTGTTTCAGAAATCTTGTCTTAATTGTTGAATAGCATTGTTTTTGTGGTCGTGTCTTTTTTTTGGCAAAACAAAATGTGTATTTCATATATTTATCTCAGTTTTGAACCACAGGGAGTTTCTTTTCAGTTGTATAAATCAGGTTTTAAAATTTCAATTGTACCTCTCTGGTTTTGTTTGTACTAATTATTAATGGGACCATATAAATTTTCTCAAGGCATTTAACCTTGGATAATATTATAGGCAGGAGGGATTTATAAAATATGACTCATAACCAGCTGTAACCAATGAATGGTTTTTTTCCTTTTAATGACTAATTTATCCAAGAGAGTTTTGTTTTCATAGGCAATTATGTGCAGATTGAGCTCTGGTAATGTTAATCCCTTTGTTCCATGTAATAAACTAAAAAAGATGGAGTTGTAGATGCCTAGTGTGTTTAACTCACGATAATTGCCTATTTTAGGCAAAAGGTCCACCATTTTCCTTAATTTTTTTTTCATAGTGTCCATCACCTCAAACAAATTACTTTGTTCTCTGGACACCTTTTAACTAAGGAAGTTAATACAGTTAGTTAACTGCCTGTTTTACTGGAAGTAGGGAGTTTTTGGCTGGATGTAGCCAAGCATCTGTAGTGTGGAGAAAGAAGGACTTGGTGGTTTTATTTTTACTGTTAATCCCCCGTAACATTTAATCTAAATAGATCTTCAAATCTACATGTCAAATGCAGAAGTAGAACCTGTTGTTAATTTCTTTATCTTGCCATTACTTTTGGCATCTGTTGTACCTGTGAGATGATGCACTTAAACCAGTTAGGCCGGCTGGGCGCGATGGCTCACGCCTGTAATCCCAGCACTTTAGAAGGCCTACGTGGGCAGATTGGCTGAGATCAGGAGTTCAAGACCAGCCTGGGCAACACAGTGAAACTGTGTCTCTACTAAAATACAAAAATTAGCTGGGGCTGGTGGCATGCACCTGTAGTCCCAGCTACTCGGGAGACTGAGGCAGAAGTATCACTTGAACCAGGGAGGCAAGAGGTTGCAGTGAGCCTAGGTGGCACTGCTGCACTCCAGCCTGTACAACAGAGTTAGACTCCGTCAAAAAAAAAAAAAAAAAAAAAAAAAAAAATTAGGCCCACTGACTTTATTCTTTTCTGTTTTGTAGGAGATTCCTTTTCCTTCAGGTTTTTCTACTTGAAATTCAGCTATTAGTAGTGGTCCACAAGAGAATTTGGGGGTTAAATTCTGTGTGTGTGTGTGTGTGTGTGTGTCTCTGTGTCTGTCTGTCTGTCTGTCAGGGTCTTGCTCTGTCACCCAGGCTGGAGTGCAGTGGCACAATCATGGCCCACTGTGTCTACCTCCTGGGCTCAAGTAATCTTCCCACCTTAGCTCCCTGAGTAGTTGGGACTACAGGTGTGTGCCACGCTGCCCGGCTGATTGTATTTGAATTTTTTAGTAGAGACCAGGCCTCACTATGTTACCCAGGCCTGTCTCAGGCTCCTGAGCTCAAGCAATCCTCCTGGCTCAGCCTCCCAAAGTCCTTGAATTACAGGTGTGAACCACTGGGCCTGGCCAGGATTATATTCTTAAAATAATTTAGCATATCTATGTAGTAGGATCTCTTCCGTATTTTTTTGTCTCTTCTTCCTTCACCTCTTCCCCTCAACATACACTTTTTGTTACTACTTGGTGAAGCTTGCAATCTTAACTAATCCATTTCAGTCAGTGGCAGATAATTGCTTATTCATTTAAAAAAAAAAAAAAAAGGCTAAGTAATGAGTATGTTATTGCTCATTTTATTTTTTTTCTTCCCACAGGTTCCAATGATTTTGGTTGGCAATAAATGTGACCTGGAAGATGAGCGAGTAGTTGGCAAAGAACAGGGCCAGAATTTAGCAAGACAGTGGTGTAACTGTGCCTTTTTAGAATCTTCTGCAAAGTCAAAGATCAATGTTAATGAGGTAACCTACAACTGCTGGGCAGCACAAACAAGTGCCTTTTTAGTTTGCTTTAAGTTAACAGCCAGACTTTTAAGAAAAATTTTTCATGTTTTAAGCAATCTTGATTCTATCATGTTATAGGAAATACTAAGTAATTCCTAGAAACTGTATTTTTTAGCTTACATGAGGCCACTTTGATGGCTGTATGGGAACACTTAAATTTAGCTTATTGTAAAAGAGGAAGCTAGAATTGAAGAATGTGTATAAAGTCCTGCTAAGTCTCTAAGTGATAATAAGCCTCTAAGTGATATGTGATAAAGTGGTGTGTAAAAATTGTTACATCACCCTTATATTGTAAGAATTATTTATCCAGACTTATATAAATAGGTTGTAAAGTCAATTTGGAAAATAATCTGTGGAGGTAGTCACACAGAAGAATGTGACTACCTTCATGGATATCACAGAATTGTGTTATGAGTCTTCCCCACCTTTGGGGCATGATTCAAAGTGGGTAATCTGTGTGAGTATGGACATGTACCTGGAATTCACTTAGACTGTTAGGCCTGATACAGCAGGTGCACAAGGCTTTTTTAGGGAGTGTGGGTGTGGGGTCACTGAGTTAAGCACTCCGCTATCTTGACAACATACCTGTGGACAAGAATACTTGGCATAATAAGCTGCATGCCTGGGTGTAAAAGGCCAGTAGTTTGCTAGTTTACTGGGCTCCTAAAAATTTAGTACAATTTCCAACGGTCTCCACCAGTCAACCTTAAAAAGTTCCCTTGCTTTTGTTTACTTTACCATAAGCCTTTTAAAAAAATAAAAACAAAATAGAGTAGGCTTCTTTGCTGCCCTTGTTTGCTTGCCATTTATAGCATTACTCGTAATCAGTCAGAATTCAGATCATTTACCTACGTAGGTGAGAGTGAGAGTGGGTTAAGTTATGAGTCCTCTGTTTTTGCTTGCTGTTCCTCTCTGGAGTGTGGTTCTGCCGATCACTTTTTCTTGACTGATAATATGCTTATAGACTATTATCTGACTTTTTAAAATGACCAAGTTACTTTAAACACCTGGCAGGTAAAAAAATTAAGCTTGCGGCCGGGCGCGGTGGCTCTAGCCTGTAATCCCAGCACTTTGGGAGGCCGAGGCGGGTGGATCACGAGGTCAAGTGATCGAGACCATCCTGGTCAACATGGTGAAACCCCGTCTCTACTAAAAATACAAAACATTAGCTGGGCATGGTGGCGCGTGCCTGTAATCCCAGCTACTCAGGAGGCTGAGGCAGGAGAATTGCCTGAACCCAGGAGGCGGAGGTTGCGGTGAGCCGAGATCGCGCCATTGCACTCCAGCCTGGGTAACAAGAGTGAAACTC